CCTGCTGAAATAGTTGATGACAATATTAAACATGTTTAAGTGAATCATAAAATTGTTCAAGCTGATGAAAGGAGTCATTGTTCAAGGTTTGATGACAGATAACTCGCAATAAAACTTATCAGTATGTTGGGATTGATGTTTAAGGTCATAAATTATATTCATAAATTTGAAATGAATATTGATGTTAATGAGGTCAAGTGAGTGAACTCGGAGGGGATGATTTAACCCAGTTGTGATATAATATTCATCATAATCCTATTGCTATAGCAGATGATAAGCCTTTTGCATAGTTTGGCATGCTCATCGAAGATACAACTAGCCATAGATTCAAAAATATCGAAAGAAAGAATTTGATGGTAAAGTGGTTGTTCCATGAAACAAGAAAGGCTTGAACATGGCTAAGTTTTTTATATGTGAAAAGATACGACTAAGATTTTTTTTTATTGGCTAAAAAAACCACACACTTGATTATTTCTTAAACCCATTTAGAGACTTCTTGAGTTTGCATTCTTGCTCCTGCAATGTGCGGCTGAAAAAGGAAAAGTGCAGCTGAGAAAGAAAAGGTTGCAGCTTAGAAGGACTAGCCTTCAAGAAAGCCTGTACCTGTAATAGAGGAGAGATCCAGGAGAGATCTGGAAAGCATGCAAGGAGCGGTTGAAAAAGGAAGCCTGTGGGGTGTGGTTGTAGGGAGAGATCCAGTAGGGACACCTACAGGGAAAGCTGTGGAGAAGAACCGAGGAAGGGCCTACAAGTAAGTGTTCTGGCAGGGAAATTTCGGCTGGAGGGCCTGCAGGGACATAGCCTAAAAGAGTAAAAGTGGGAGGATTTCGGTGGCTGTTGGAGGATTCCACTGTAGGGACAGCGCCTAGAATGATTTTGTTGGTTGTTGGAGGATTCCAGCAGAAGAAAGAAGCTGGGGTTTGTTCAAGCTCTGATATCATGTGAAAAGTTGATTTGGAGAAGAATAATTCTCTTGATTTTATTATTCACATAGGGTACATATATATAGAGAAAATGATCTCTCCTAATTTACAATCTTATCGAATATATCTAACCTAAATTAGGAAAGAAAATAAATCTAAAATAAAAAAATAGCATAGAATAGGAATAAAAAATCAAGAGTTTTCTAAGTTATCTCAATCAAGTCCTACAAGATATTCTCATATTTCGTCAAGGATCTTCTCAGATTTCCACAAGAGCAAACAACCAAAAAAAAAGGCTACCTTGATAACAAGAGCAGCGTAAGGAAAAGCAAAGCAGATGCTCAAACCCTTAAAAACAAGGCATCTAAAGAAGAATGGCAAGGAAGCACGAGAAGAGATTCAAGGATGAAAAACAACAAAGTGATAAAGGAGATTTGCTCTACAAAGGCAAGTACAAGAAAAAAGGACAAAACAACTTCAAAAACACCTTAGGACAAGAAGGGTTGAGACCCCAAATGACATTTTTTTTTTCTTATGATGTTCATACCCTAAAGATGCCTTCACGTCTACTAAAGATAGGTTTCATATTTCCATCATTTTTGCCATACTTTCAATAAAATAAGTATTAAGGAAGATTTACATACATAAAACTCAAAACATTATGGGTGCTATCTAGTAACTGATTTAAGTTGGATTTAACTTAAATATTATCAAACTGAAAAAATGATAATTTTTAAATCATGAATTCAGTAAATCTAGCTTCTTCTCAGTTTTGCTTTAAATCTTGAATTTAATAAATCCCGGTGTTTGCAGAATTTAGTAAATCTGAATTTACTGAATTTAATAAATTTGTTACCAAAAAACCCGTAAGATTTATATATTTAATACCTAAACTTCACTACAAAACATCAAAATGAAATAGAAAATAACATCCACCCTAACCATGACACCACCCAATCCAGTCGCCCCGAACTCGCCAGCTTTGACCTCATTGCTGCCCACCTTTCAACCTCCCCGGCATCCACCTCTCCCCACATTCACTTCCGATCTTGCCACCTCCCAACTTTACCGCCTCCAAACTCACCACCTATGACCTCGCTGCCTCAATCCAATCAAGTCAACCACTGCATTAAGTAGCTTGACCGGTGAAGACAGTTCACCACTTAACTCCTTGGGTTCATTGAGTATCCGACGATATATGTTAACGAGTTAAGAAAGAGAGAAATTGTAAAATAGTGAAGTTTAGGTATCCAATATGTAAATCTTACTAACTTGGGTGCTATGTATGTAAATTCCTTGAGTATTAAAAGTGCTGCAAGAATAAAAACGGGAGCAAGACAACTCTAAAAAAGCCTATCCATCGGAAAATTCATGTTCCAGGATATCCTAATAAATCGAATCGCAGGTATGAAGCAAAGATGAGCGCTAACGAAGGGATTATTCCGATCCGTCGCAGTAATAAAGGAATTGTTAAAAAACTTAAAAACAAATAAAATGCAATGCCTTCCCATATCTCCGATCACCGACACATGCGCGTTCTCCACTTACAAAAAATTAAATCAAAAAAACAATCGTCCGAAAGCAGGCAAGAGAGAAGAGATGGAAAGAGAGGAATCAAAGAGATGGGGACGACGAGTACCTGATCCTAGCGAAGACTGTTGGATGTGGCCGGAAGAGCACCGCGTTTGGGAGCAGATGGGTGAGGAAAATAAACGGAGGAGAGAGCGAGCAGTTAGACGATTGCGTGCTGCAAAAATAGGCGTAGGCAGAGGAATCTGAAACTGAGGGCTTCGCAGGAAGCGCGGCCAGCCGCGCGAGGTGGGACGATGTACAGGAAGCAACGGAACCGCTACGCACCGCGCCACTTCGAAGCCGAATGATAATGGTAAGCACTCGTGCCCGCCCCGAACTCCCCTATTTATGGAATCCCTAGTATTTCCACATTTTCGATCCCGCCGAAAATTATTGTATTTTATGGACCTAGATTTTTTTTATTTTCTCGCCTGTTGATGCGGATTTGAGTTTTGTATCCCTCGTCATGATAAGCCTTAACCATGTTCCATCTATATTTGGTACTATGACTATTGATCCAAAATTCTTTCTTAATTTTCCTTTTTTGTGTTGTTCTAAGTGTATTACATTGTCGCTAAATGTTCTCGTAGGTGTGGTTTCCATGTTACAACTAATACTTATTGAATCATTTGTAGCGGTGTGCAGTATCTGGTCAAAATTAAAAAATTGGACCGAACTGAATAAATTCAGTTGATTCGGTTTTGTTTCAAAGATGCATCTCAATATTCGGTTTTCAGTTATTGGTTTGATTTTAATATTCATTTAGCCGAACAAACCGAAAAATAAAAAATTTAAAATTAAATAAAGGATTCATGAAATTAAATCAGCATTATACGTGTAAGATATGAGCTTATTTCAAACAAACTAAATTTTAAACGAACCGAACACGAACACAAGCTTTGTTCGTTCGTGTTCGGTTCGTTTACACCCCTATCTGTTAGTATTCGACGGGTAGAGCAGAGTTCTTATTCTGTGCCGACACCACATTAAATGGATTTCTCATTCGCCCAAGAAATGTTTATGGAATCACATAATGATGGTGATCAGCTTAGATCATTAGCTGCGTTCGGAAGTATTCCTCAGGTAGAGTTCTTTCTTTGTTTTTTATGTTGCTATTAATGGCTTCCAAGTGATAGTATTGTTGGGCTCGGATGGTGTGATTACTATATTATTTGATTGTTAAGTTAATTTGTAAGTGTTATCATTGTGTTTAAGTTGTCGTAATGGTATTATCTTTCTGGTATTATTATGGTTGATATTGTTTTTTCTGATATCATTTGGGTCTTATTTAGGTTTTATCATGGGTTTATTATG